GAGCAATAGACACACGAGATGTCAATATAGATACTTATTATATCAGCCTCCTTGCCACGCATATATTTATAAAGTTAATGCTTATAACATGTTAATATGTATATATAATAAATTACCTGACAGTATAAAATTAGAAACTGGGACAACGTTTAAAAGTAAGTTGACAAAATGGTTACAAAAAAAATGTTATATAGTATTAAGGAATATATGACAGATGAAAAAAATAACTGACTGCAATATTTGCACACCTGCCTGCAGGTAGAATACATGTACTTACTTAATATGTATCAACTTGTGAACTGTATTTTGGCAAATAAATTAAATTATTATTATTATTAATGTCCACACTGCTGGGGCACAGGCCTTCCCTATGGATGGAATAGGGAGATTGGGCCATGACCCACTACGCGGGCTCAGTGCGGATTGGTGGGTTCTAACGACTGCATATGCAGCCGGGACCAACGGCTTAACGTGCCTTCTGATTTCAGGTGCCTTTAATTTTTCCAAAGAACTAATCCGCATTAGACCTTTTTTTTGCGTTTGGCCCGCTCACTCTTCTAAGGCAGGTGTGTTCTAACAGTGATGGTTTTGATGATGTGATGATAATTTTACAAGAAATTTTGATAACAAATTCTAAATATATATATAAAACTCAAAGGTGACTGACTGACATAGTGATCTATCAACGCACAGCCCAAACCACTGGACGGATCGGGCTGAAATTTGGCATGCAGGTAGATGTTATGACGAAGGCAGCCGCTAAGAAAGGATTTTGATCAATTCTACCCCCAAGGGGATAAAATAGGGAATGAAAGTTTGTATGAAACTTTGTCAATTTTAAACCGATCGGGCTGAGACTTTGCATGCAGGTATAAGAAGAATCATAGATGAATGTCATTGTGTATAATACAAGCCTGAGAACAAAAACTGTAGTCTACACTTCAGCTCCACACCGAAGCGAAGCGAGGGCGGGCCACTAGTGTCATATTAATATGTAGGTTTAAAAATTTTCAACTATAAACTGGATTTTTCCAGAACCCACTTTATAAATTGTTCACTGTATAATATATTGTATTTTAATTCAAGCTTTTTAGTGCTAACGTTTGAAAACAGTTCACAAGTTAAATAAATAGCCTTAGAAAATCACTCTCAAATTTAATTACTAGTGTACATCAGAAAGAAAGAAACAAAAGAAAAAGTATTTATTGGCCTTAGGCACAAGTAGGAAAAAAAACAATAAATCTTATAATATAAAATTCTCGTGCCACAATGTTAGTTACCATACTCCTCCGAAACGGCCTGACCGATTTTTATGAAATTGTAGATGCATATTCCGTGGGTCTGAGAATCGGCTTCTATCTATATTATTCATATCCTTAAGTGATAATGGTTGTCCACCTGTAACGTAGTGTTCTGAAACCTACAATGCCCCTTCGCGCCAAAATTCAAGCTATTGGGTATTGTAACGTAGCGTTCTCACATGGGTTAGGAGGAATCTTCTTCCATCTACCACTATTTTTATGGCGGTACGAAGTTCGCTGAGTCAGCTAGTATAACGATAAAAATAAAAACAAATAGAGAGCATCATTACTGTTAATATAATGCAACTCATCATATACGAGACGAATGTGAAAAGCAAAACTCTTGAACGTTTACTAACAATACATAGGCTCCTGAGGAGCTCGATGGCGCAGGTGGCTAGCGCGTTCGGCTGCGATCGTTGAAGTTAAGCAACTTTCGCAGTGGTCGGTCATTGGATGGGTGACCAAAAATTTACTATCTCGAGCTCCTCCGTGCTTCGGAAGGTACGTTAAGCACCAGTCGTTAGCACCCACCAATCCGCACTGGGCCCGCGTGGTCCCACCACGCGCCACATACGCCATGACCCATCATGGCCCAATCTCCCTATTCCATCCATAGGGAAGGCCTGTGCCCCAGCAGTGGGCACATTAATAGGCTGATGATGATTACATAGGCTCCGCAAATTAATTGACCATTAAAACCTAGTCGTTTCTTAGATAAACAAAACACAGTTTTGTAATTAATTATTCACGGTCATTAATAAAAAGTACTAGGCGAGCAGAACTCAACTGGAGCGAACTTCGTATCTACTTCCGCTAACTACTAAAAGATGGTAATGAAGCGAACTCACCTTGGCATAGCCGTCTCTTTCCCTCACACCGATAATACATAAGACCGTCTCTGCCTTTAGGGCTGTCACAGCCACAACGGCCGATCCAGACGGTGACAAGAAATTAATTAGGGGAAGCTCGGGGAAAATAATGGTGTGCCCTGATTTTTAAATGAAATTTATTTTCTCCACTTCATTTATTTCTCGGCGACATGACACTTCGGAAATTATTAGACTTTAGAAGGGATTCCGCTCCCGTAGGTAAGGTTTCAGCTTGTTTACCTTTCCTGCTTTGTAATTTATTTTTGTGGCGTCAAGAGAAATATTTCCCTATTTGCGTTTTCTGATTCAATAGATTTTTTCGTGCAAGTTAATGGATTTCTCATTCCTTAATTAATAAGGTTTTGTGTTGTAAGAGTAAGTGTGAATGAAAATGAAATAGCTTTACAGTAAAATGAAAGACAATTTTAAGAGACTAGCCTTATTTTATTTTATTCACGTACATTTACTTAAAATACACAAATAAGTCTCTATCTAATTACATAATTACTCTATATATAAATACTAGAACAATAAAACTAAAACTAAAAACCTTAAAAAATAAAATTAATAACTAAAATATTTTATTAAAAGGAGTCCCTTTAGGCAAGGATCCGAAGATACTGGCAGCGTTACCCCTTTGAATGGCTAGACTAATTCGTTGAATTTTTACTTAAAAATAACAATAAAGTTTACACAAGTCCAGAGAACAATCAACAACCAAAATATTCTCTCACCAAAACTCATCAAGTCATTTTTCATTCATAAATAGAAGTTATTTCAAAGATCAAAATACTAAAAGCGACGATTTATCTTGAAGCACCACGTACACGTGTTTGAGTTGTGAGCGATGCCCAAAATTTTGTTAACCGACCGTCATAGCGACGACAGAAGACGATTTTTCTAAAGCCACTTACAAAAAGTGTTTTTTCACGCGACTCCAATGCTGTTTCATGCACAGAGAGGTGAAATTTGAAAATTGTAGCTCACTCGTAACTTTTGTCCGTTTTAAATGATATTTTGTTTGAGCAAGAATGAAAGAGTTTGATGGACGCTGTCATAGTGGCTATTAATATTGCCTTTAAATTATCGCCTGCTTACTTCGTAAAGCAATATCAACATGCTATGAATGATATCCAATGGTTGGTGTAGCAGTTTAAACTGCTGTACCAGCTATCTTCGCGTTTGGACTCTATCACCACTTAACATCAGGTGGGGTAGAGTCATTTGCCTACCTGGCTATAAAAATAAGGTGGCATGAAGATGAAATAAGTGTTTTGTAAGTGCTTTGAAATTAATGCCTGAGACAGTTATGGATTACCTAAAAGTAATACAGGCAGTGTATATTTCCAGGTAAAACCAGGTTTATTCTGTACAATTTATTAGAAAAAAATCCACGTGGACCAGGCAGCTGACGGGACTAAAGAACTAAAGAAATAAAATCATAACTATAATTGCTATTTCTTCTTTCAAATGTTTAATACTTGAAAAAGTATTCATTTGACATAGTGGGTTACCTATAATGCGAAGAGAGGGCGCTGCCTTGCAGCTTAAGGCTAGGAAAAATTTCGACGCGGTCATCAGGGCCGTGGTAGCATAATTGGTCAGTGCATTCGCCCGGATTGCGAAGGGTGCGGGTTCGAGTCCCGTCCGCTGCCTGGTCCGCGTGGATTTTATTCTAGTAAAACTTTTCTTTAGATATAAGCATCTAGCAGATAATGCTTAAAAAAAATTATTCATAAATTTATTAGACTCCTTCAAATTAAACTTACAACCAATTTCATTTTCGAAATTCATTGGAAGTATATCTTAAGTTCCTGCTGAGGACAAAAGTACACCCTAGCATAATATTACTGAATACGTTTCAAAAGTTTAGCATTCTCTATGTGACTAACTTTACAATGCATGTCGATAGTATCTAGTTTTATTTTATTATTCATAACTATCACTGTTTATCGATGGTTGTAACCCGATTAAAATCATAATTAGCCATAATGCGCGCCTATTTCGGTTTCGTTATAAAACTTTATTAGCTGTGTATGTTTTGTAATAACAACGTATAATAAAAATACTAGATACGTACTATTATGTTTGTTATCTTTTCAGTTTTACTGTTCAGAAGCAAATTTTCATTTAATAATTAAATTCAAAACAGTTGTCTCAGAAAATTTTGACTTATTCATACGCTATAAAATCTGTATGGTTTAATAAAATGAAAAGTCAGAAAGATATCGAGTATATCAAACATATGAAATTTTACTTTGAATGAAATGCTGTAATTTGCTTAACCTCTTAGCTATAAGAGGTCATCATCAGTGGTTCACTTACATTACAGTCGAGTTTTATAATTACCAGGCCTGTTTAATAATACTTAATAATTTATTGACGGCATCAAGGACTCATAGCTACAAACATTAAATAAAATGGAACGGAAAATACAGGATGTGGAAAAAATTACGTTCATGTTATTGGTGTAAATAGTTTTGATGGTTTAATTAGAAATAATTTCAAAGAGACGTTTCCACTTGCTTTGTCGTAGTACATACATAAACTCAAACAAAATGATGTGAAACGAAAGTAATTTATATAACGCTTTGCCGATGCTTTGTCTAAATCATTTTGTTTCAACTTCACTGTTTCGTGATTTTATTACTCATAATTTCAATGTTTCACGACACGCAAAGCGAATTGTGTTGTGTTCAAGAGCTATTAGAGCTTTAATCATAAAATATAGTGAGTGTGACGTTACGGCTTCTACAGGGCACTCTGCTAAGGCCAATGTTTTTTTAAACTTTGTCTTATAAAAATACGTAGATAACGGGAACCGAAAATGCTTTCGGAGCGCAAAATCCAAACACTAATCATTCAAGATGAGTTACGTAACAGATCTTCGTTTGTGCAACCCAAGAAAAGGAAAACAGCCCTGCATACAGTTAAAGAGAAAGCCAAAAGTTACATGGTACTATTTTTAGAAACATCTTCTATACATGGTTTGAATCATATAGTGGCCATTGGAAGGCATCCCTTTGAAGTGTAAGTTGAAATTTTTTTAGTCATATATTCCTTGATATAAATATATTGACAGAGCTTACACTTTTGAGTGTATGCTTTAATGATAATGACACATGCTGGATTTATCACACCCAGAATATTGATGATTTCAAAATACTTTCAAATATGATCCATTTTTTTTATTTTTTGAAATTTAAAATTCTAAATACTTTCTAATGTGCTCCATTTTTTAATTTATAGGAATTTAAAATAATAGTCACCTTTTTGTTATTAATTATAAAGTTTGTCTTCTCGTCAGAATTCTTTGGTTAATTATGGTGGCCCTATCAGTAATCGGATCAGTATACCTGTCGCAGACAACTTGGATCCGCTATCAGTTCTCCCCCACCGTCGTCTCTATGGACCGTGACATGTTCGCATGGAACACCACCTTTCCCTGCGTCACCATATGCCCGAACAACCAGCTGGACAAAATTAAAATCGACAAATACGTGCAGTAAGTTGAAGACATATTTCATTAAAACAATTTTTTACTTGGGCATCTTAATCAAGGCATTTCCAATGGATAACTCGGTAAAAATGCTTTATGTTTGAAACTGCTCATTTAAAACAATGTTTTTTTTTAAGTTGTTTATTTCACCCTATCTTCAAAAATTCCTAAACAGATTCGGATGTACGGGGTATCGGAAATCCAGCAATTGTTTCTTTGAATTTATTTGGTATTTACCTTAACCAAATGTGTGACAATGTAGTCTAAAATGTGAAAAAAAATGAGTATTTCATATATTGTTTAAAAGTTACAACTGCTACGACCTGTACACTTGATCATTTTTGTTACAGAAATTCAAATGAACCTGATAAAGAAAAGCTCGAGAATTTCATCAGATCTCTTGCTAACGTCACTTACGACAACTTTGAAACTATGCCGACATACGATGCCATCCCATCAGACAAGTATTTAGAGCTTCTCCTCAACCTATCAGCACACTTTAAGCCGACACTTACCATTGGAGCTTCAGGAATAATGCTGAATATAATACCGACTGTAACAGAGATGGGACTTTGCTATGCTGTGAACTCTAAAGTGGCTGTTTATAATTCTCCCTCGTAAGTTGGTATTGATGTCTGATTTGCGATAACAGATTTGGGTTAATATCTATCAAGGTAAATTACAACCAGGGCTAAGAATTATACACCAGGTTGTTTGCCCGCAAGCGAATTCAATGTCTAGTATCTCTATTAAATTGTAATATCAACTTTAACAGTATCCGTTTTTATGCTAAATTATTCTTAATCGTGCACGCACAATTGTACAAAATTTGCAGGTATAGATCTGCCAACAGATGGGACATAATCAAATCGCCAAACGACACGTTCTTTGTGCATCCACTAGATGGAGAGGTGTTTGCGCAGGTCATCAATATCTCCAACTCTTACGACGTGAGTGGTGATTCCCTTACTTTAAATCATTTTTTAAAGTTGTTTTAGTACCTAAAAGTTCACCAATCACCAATTATGTGGTGGCACAGCATTAGGAAACTTTTAGAATAAATACATACAATTACTGCAATTTGTTTGAGCAAAATTTAATTACTCGGTACTTAATCACCAGATTCAAAATGAAGTGTAGTTTCAAAGATTTTTTTGTGAAACTTTGATGTTATTTCAATAGGAAAAGTCTGGAATGTTTTAAGTGAAATCCGAGATACAGCTGCTAATCAGTGAATTATATTTATGTTCATCTCAATGCTGCCCACGAGTTACTTTCTAAGGCATGTTTTATGGATTAACTTTGATAAATTTGGTATTGAACATAATTCAGGCTTACATCCACGGCCCTTCCGAAGTTCCAGACATATCCAGCAAGAAGCAGCATTCGGCCGAGGACTGCTACATGAAACTGTATCTCACCGCCCTCACTGTTTACACCGCCCCAGAAGCTGCCCGGTCAGTGTTGTTCTCAACATCATAATCATCACCAACCCATGCTCGTCTACTGCTATACATAGGTCTCTCCCTAATGCACGCCACTACTCCCGATTTTCTTCCACTCTCATCCAGCCCACTCCAGTCAGCCTACGAATGTCATCATCCCATCTTGTCTCAGGGCGTCCTACACTAAGTTTACCGAGTCGCGGTCTCCACACAAGAACTTTACGGCTCCAACGGCCGTCATCTGCGGCTAATGTGACCAGCCCACTGCCACTTCAGTTTGCTAATTCTGTGGGCTATGTCGTTGACTCTGGTTCTCTGTTGGATTACATCATTTCTGATGCAGTCCTTCAGGGATACTCGAACATAGCCCTCATAGCATGTTCTCAACATAAGTATGAAAATTTAAAGATCCTTTACAAGTTTTGTTATACCTGGCGGGAATAAACTCAAACAGAGTCAGTCAGGCACTTCTAAGTTTAACTGCTACTACATTCTTATAAAAATCGAAAAGCTGCGGCATCTTCCGAATCTTGCACTTGTGTACAAAATAAACTACCTATCGTTTTTATTTTTGTAAGAGAGCGTTAAATTTTCATCGTCTTTGCATTTAAAAGGCATTCGATTAGAACATGTTATTTGTAAATACATATTGGTTTTAACTTAGCAAATTCTTGAAGTGCTGATTTTTGAACCTAAATGAAGAAAGAAAAACGATTATAGTAGCATGAAAATTGTAAAGATTCAGTGCAATAAAATCACTCCACTATTGTTAGGTATACGGGAGAAAAAAATAACGATTTTCAGCCGATATAACCTATAATATAATATATTCTTTCAAACCATTTTAATATTTAGGCTGAGTGTTGCCCAGCGTCGCTGTCGTTTCCCCGAAGAGAACAACCTACAACATAACTCTGTCTACACTTACACCATGTGCCGTATGGAGTGCCGCATCAAGCTCTGCCTCAAGTACTGCCAGTGTATCCCACATTTCTATCGGAAGATCGGTAAGGGCTATCACCATCAGCATCTTGGTCTCATAGGTCTTTGGCCTTTCCACGCTACAAAACCCCTAAAGTCCGTAAGGCCTTTATTCATGTGTAGGATGGATTGATGAGGAATTTATTATAATGATGATGTCTTGGTATAAGTAGTCATAAATTATCCAATCCTACTAATATTTTATATGTGAAAGTTTGTATGTTAGTTATTCAATCACATATAAGATATACATAAGATACTAGATACTATTTATCTCGGATTTTTTTAGTTCCTGTGAGATTCTCAAATAACTAAAGTTAAATCGGACGAAGTCGCGGGTGATAGTGATATAATAATAAAAATAGGTACCGAGACGATAAAATACACAGTTAACTTACGCTATAAGAATTAATACCCAATAAAGGAAGATATACATCACATAGTAACAAAAGTGCGTTTGTTGCCGTTTAATGTATTAAAGAGGAGTATGTACTAAAAATATCCAAAAACTGAATAGATTTGTGCGCAAGCGCAGCTAACGATACGTATTTATGTTGAAGATTTCGCATTAATGCTAATTTGCTATTTCAATTTCACAGGAGACGAGAAAATATGCGACGTGGCTGGAATGCATTGCCTCGGCAAACATAGAGGTAACAGGTTATGATCATATGCACATACTACTGAATATTTAAGAAATAATTAAGGGAATTAAAAATGTTAAAATTAATTATAGAAATATCAAAAGATGGGAAACGAAAAAAGTTGAACGACATTATGACAAGTAGGTGGAGGTAATATTTTTTTTTGACAGACTGGTAACAACTGATACATATACATTTTAAGAATCCTTAAGAGATAAGTTTAAAGAATATGGCATAATGACGGTCGCATCACAAAACATTTACGAAAATTTATTACATGTAAGAAAAAATATTAATTTGTTTCTTAAAAACAGTGATGTTCACACAATTAATACAAGAAACAAAAATAAATGAACTTTACCTGCTACTAGGCTTCACAAAATCAATAATTCATTTAAAGGTCTTTGGGTTCGCTTATACAATAAAGTCTCAAGAAATAGCCAAGAGTTAACAATAAATAAATTCAAAGATAATATAAAAAAGCACTTATTAAAAAAGCTTATTACAAAGTGTCTGATTATATTACAGACAAAAATGCTTAGGTTTAAACTGTTCCAATCATTCCAACAGGTTTTCTATATTAAATAAATCATGATGACATTGAAACAACATTATGATTTGTAAATGTTGTTACATTATACTTGCAATGCTGTGGAGTTTTCTTCGCTCGTTTTTCTCCGCAGCTAAAAAATATGTCCAATAACGATTGGTAGGAAAAAAAACGAGCGACCCTTACAGTAGTCGCGTATGATGTGTACTATTTGAAATCTCACCTTATATTAGTAAAAAATGAATTAAACCTACTACAAAAGGAATAAGCCACTTCTACATTATGTTCTGAGATCAAATCAAAAGCGTGCGCTTTCACGACTTCCCGTTACACACTTCCGTCCCATTTCATGAAAATACTCCCACAAATTGCAGGAAAGCGAGAGGAAAGATATTACACATCAAAAAAGTTTTGACGATTCAAAAGAGTTGTACTATACATCCAATTGGAAAAAAAGATAAATTTATTTCTGATTTCGAAGGATTAAAAATGAAAACACATTGGTGTCAATTCTGACATGATTCTCTAAACCTAAACTTATATTTGACAATAGTGTATCCTTGTTATTCTCTATACAGAATAAAAAGGAGAGACTGATGTAAATTTATATTTAAGTTTAGAGAATCACGCCAGAATCGACACCATTGTGTGATTACAAATAAATTTAGAAATAGCTAACCATAATAACACTCAAAGTCAAAATACGTTACTTAAACACATAATTCATTATAATCATAAGCCTATTTAAGTCCCCCTTGCAGGCCCACAGGTCTTTCCACTGACTTTTTATTCTGTGGGTCTTACTTTATAGATGGAACAAAGAAACTGACTCATTCCATGACCCACCCCGCAGGCCAACTGCGGATTCATGGGTGCTAACTGACAACTGCAGATGCAGCTGGGTACGCAACCATTACGAGTTACTCGATCTACAGCATTGACTGACATTTGACTGTTCAACTGATTTTGTTTATCCAATAGATATACTTTACAAATTGCGAGACAAAGATGGCAAGAAGATCCATTGCGACTGCCTGCCGATATGCGACGACGTCAACTATGTTATACAGTCCAGTGTAAGTTGTAGCTATTAGAAATTATATAGATAACGAACAAGATTTTTTATATATTTATCACAACACACACAAGAAGCTGCTGTTATCTAATTTTCTTTTGTTACGTTTTACCTATTTATAGCCAATATTTGGCTATCGTTACAAGAGTAAGACCAAGGTTGGCCTGGTGAGAAATCTGGTGTTCTCCATATTCATCTACAGTGCGGAAACATGGACCCTCAAGAAGACAGACTGATAACGTATTGACGCATTGAGATGTGGTGTTGTAGGAGAATGTTACGAGTTCCGTGGACAGCCCACCGCACAAATGCGTCAATTCTTAAAGAAGTGGGAGTCACCGTTAGGCTGTCCAATTTCTGCTTGCGTAGGGATCCTCGAATTCTTCGGTCACATAGCATGAAAGAAAAACGATACCCTGGAAGTGCTCCTGGTGACAGGAAAAGTACAGGGAAGGCGACCGAGAGGAAGAAGCCCCATGCGCTGGACAGACCAGATTCGCGACAATATCAAAACTGGAGTCCGCGATGCACTCCACACTGCGGAAGACCGCAATAAGTGGAAAGATCGTCCACAAAATAATTCGTGGAGGTCACGACCCTCAGCAATGAGGAGCACGACACAAGGAGGAGGATAAGAGTATTATTATGGACAAGCAAACGGTTCACCACATTAGTTTCGAAAATTGTTATATCCCTAGATTTACTTGTTTATTCATTTTTACCAGGATCAAACATTACGACCCGCAGGCCCCTCTTTCCTAGTGGGCACTTTGGGTAAGTGCCCAAGGCCCCGCGATCGATAGGGGCCCCCCTCTGATCAAATACAAAGTCCTTAGTTCCTGTTAAATCACCAAATGGGGGTAAAGGGGCCCCATTATCCTAATATGCCCAGGGCCTCCAATAGGTCAAAGACGCCACTGGCGACTCGCATCCAGACGCCCAAGCTCGAATTTTGACAGCTAGTAATGTTTTGTCAGAGTTTCTATGAAAGCTAAACAGCGCCTCTTTCTTCGGACTAAGAACCTGGAGCTTTACGCTCTTTCTCCGAAACGAAATTTCGGCCACGAACGAATTTTAAACAAAATTTCGCCAGTGACTCTACTCTATTTCATCTTCGAACACGCACAAGTTCGGAATCACAGATAATTATCGTGAACGAATGGAATGAGTTATGTTTGTGAGTTCTTTTTGTCTACACTTTTTAGATAACGTTTTTTACTTCAAAACAATATTACTTTATGACAACACTAGCTGACTCGGCGAACTTCGTACCGCCCAAAAGTAATAATTTGCAATAAATTAAAATTGCGACTATAATTTGAGATTTAAACTATCCTATCTCTCAAGTTGGATCGAACTGCACATGGTGTGCGAATTTTATTATAATCGGTTCAGTGGTTTAGGAGTCCATTGAGGACAAACACTGTGACACGAGATTTATATATATTAAGATTTTTTATTACATTAAAACAACCTCTTTTGACAATGTTAGCCGACTAGTTTGTAGAGTTGATGCAATCGAATGTATGTCAACCTAAATTTGTCGTGTAACACTTTGAAGTATTGGCAATACAATGATAAACAAAAATTTTATTTATTTGTAATTTTTTGTACTCTAGTAGTAAATTTAGGTTTAATTTAAAAAAAAATCCCAAAACGAAAATGAAAAGGTAACACTTTTCATTTCGTCAATTTGAGTTTAAAATTTCGGACAATTATCTGCCAAATTCAACTTTTAGTTCAAAAGTTTTGTGAATTAGAGTAGGCTTAGAGAATTTAAATGTCAAACTATATTCGGACGAACGAATTTTCGAAATGAAATAGAAACAGAGTAAGGAACGTGCGAAATTTCGATCGAAATTTCGTTTTTCGTTGAAATAGAGTAGGCCTCCTGGCTGCTTCTATACAAAATTTGACGATGACGATAACATTACAGAGCTGTCAAAATTAGTGCTTCGGCCTCAGGAGGCCTACTCTATTTCAACGAAAAACGAAATTTCGATTGAAATTTCGCACGTTCCTTACTCTGTTTCTATTTCATTTCGAAAATTCGTTCGTCCGAAAATAGTTTGATATTTAAATTCTCCAAGCCTACTCTAATTCACAAAACTGTTAAACTGAAAGTTGAATTTGACAGATAATTGTTCGAAATTTTATCCTCAAATTGACGAAATGAAAAGTGTCACCTTTTCATTTTCGTTTAAGGATTTTTGTTTAAATTAAACCTAAAATGACTACTAGAGTGTTTTTAATGAGGGCTGCTTAGCGTGGGAATCATTTTTTAGTATGAAAAATTTACAAATAAATACATTTTTTGTTTATTATTGTATTGCCAATACTTCAAAGTGTTACACGACAAATTTAGGTTGACATACATTCGATTGCATCAACTCTACAAATTAGTCGGCTAACACTGTCAAAAGAAGTTGTTTTAATATAATCAATAATTTATTCATAAAGTAATATTGTTTTGAAGTAAAAAACGTTACCTTAAAAGTATAGACAAAAAGAACTCACAAACATAACTCATTCCATTCGTTCACGATAATTATCTGTGATTCCGAACTTTATGTGCGTGTTCGAAGATGAAATAGAGTAGAGTCACTGGCGAAATTTCGTTTAAAATTCGTTCGTTGCCGAAATTTCGTTTCGGAGTAAGAGAGTAGAGCTCCTGGTGCTGCAAATGGAGCTTGGGCGTTATCTATTGTCCTAACTCGTGAGTCGTGCAATAACAACTTTACTGCAAGAACAACAACAACAGTAAGTAGATTTCCCTCTAACTGGTGAATTTATTTTTGATTCGCTCGTTGGTATACGTAACACCAACGTAAGTAAGTCAGACGTTAGTCTAAAATAATAAAACAATTTATTGTGTTGGTTGGTGACAACATGGTTGACAGACCATTGCCTACATTATTTTCAGAACCATACCCTATTCGTTGGTATTGGTAGACTTTACCGTTTACAAGAGAAAATTGTCAGTTAAAGTATTTGTCGTTTTTATTACCACTACAAGTCAGTCAAGTAACAATCAGAAAATATCTTGCACATTCTGAAATGCTTATAATTCTATGCCTTTAATTTGCAGATCCTTCAAAAATGGTTCCTTGGCACTAACCTTCAATGGGGTATCGTCAGCTACCCGAGGATGAGATACAGAAGGGACATTATCTTCGGCTTCACTGATGTATTGGGTAATGTATCAGTAATATCTTTATATTTCTCTAGCGGCCCGCCCTCGCTTCGCTTTGGTGTAGAGCTGAAGTGTAGACTACAGTTTTTGTTCTCAGGCTTGTATAATAATACACAATGACATTCATCTATGATTCTTATTATACCTGCATGCAAAGTCTCAGTCCGATCTGTTTAAAATTGACAAAGTTTCATACAAACTTTTATTCCCTATTTATTTAAATTAAATTTTTATTTAATTTAAATTTATTCTTCTTGCTCCTTTGTATTTCTCTGTTTCGTTTTTTTTTTTTGTTTTTTGGTCATTGTTTTTTTTTCTACATTATCTTTTTGCGTATATGGTCAACTAGTGCCCCCCCCTTTGCTTCACTTCGGGGTAGAATTGATCAAAATCCTTTCTTAGCGGATGCCTGCGTCATAACATTTACCTGCATGCCAAATTTCAACCCGATCCGTCCAGTGGTTTGGGCTGTACGTTGATAGATCACTATGTCAGTCAGTCACCTTTGAGTTTTATATAATATAGATATTCAAGATTTTATTTTTCAAATTATGATTGTATTTTACGCGTAACTCGTCGTTTATTTTACTCGCGTATCGATGGCGTAGCTTTTCGACATTCACAAGTGCTTGTAACAGCTTAGACTGAATAAACGATATTTAATTTTGAATATTAATATTAATATTTATTTTTGAAATTTGATATTTACAGTGGCAGTGGGTGGAATGGCGGGACTGTTCCTGGGATGCAGCGTGCTGAGTTTCATGGAGATCATCTACTTCCTTACCTTGAGGCTCATATGCTACACCCACGCGGCTGTCACCAAGTAGCTGGTTATCGGATGATAAATATAATTTAGTAAAAAACACAATTTTATTGTAACCACTTTGTTGGCTTAACTAAAATATGTCCATCCGTGTCAAATTAATGCTTTGTAGTACAAAACGTCTCCAAGGTAAGGTAAGGTTGTGGACTTGTTGATTTCAAATCGTAATGAAGTGCAAATTTAAACACACACAATATTGTATGCTAAAAATTACTAGAAAGAGTGATGACAAAAGAAGCAGTTCTTCAAAAGAAATATTACGGACAATTTGACTGTGACGGTGATTTTCTATTTTATTGTTGTTTGTTTATAGTTGGAAAAACTTTGACATTTTCACTAGTCTTAGTCTTAGTCTTAGTAGTACGGCGGGCTGTTTCCGCAACTCGACACCTAGTGCCTATTTTGCGTGGGGGATTGGCATCAGTCCTGCCATCCCAGCTCCTCCAGAAAGCTCAGCAGTCCCCGAATGTTGCTGCAGGCCTCTACTATTGTCTTCGGGCTTCCCATTAGAGAAGTCCTTTGTCTTGCAACGCCCCTGCACTCCAGTAGGACATGGGCGCTCGTCTCATCCGCCTCCAGGCAGGCTCTGCACAGAGGGCTGTCAGAAATACCTATATTACAAAGGTGTTTGTTAAAGTAGCCGTGACCCGTGAGTATACCCACGATTTGTTTCAGGGCTTGTCTAGGTAGTCTGATTAACTTACGTGTTAGTTGCAGGTTTACCTTAGGAACGGCTTCCCTGGCTTGCCTGCAGTCCGTGAGTTTTGACCAGTAATCGTCGTGTTGTCGTTGAGAGCGCTCCCTTATCCAGGTTCGCAGCTGCCGATAGGGTATGGGTATAATTGGCTCCGGACCAATGGCCGTCCTGCTAGACCCCTCCCTGGCTAAGCAGTCCGCCGCATCATTACCCCTTGAGCCGCTGTGTCCTTTAATCCACTGTAGGGTCAATCTATTGTCGTTCGCAATATTAGTCAACTTACTGTGGCATTCGTAAATTAAGCCTGATGTCATTATATTGTTGTCCAGTGCCTGTAGGACAGAAGCGCTGTCAGAGAGGATACGAATGTGTTTACCTCTTACCCCGCGACATTCTATCGCCTCAGCAGCTCTGATGATGCCCACACACTCTGCCTGGAAGACCGTGTTATAGGCACCCAAAGCTGTCGAGATGTGTATATTCAGGTCTTCGGAGAACACACCCGAGCCCGTACCACAGTTGGTTTTTGAACCGTCTGTGTAGACCCTCAACTCCTTATGCAGACAACGGTCCGGGGTGTCTTCATAAAGTTGAATTTTGTATTTTTTGTCAAATACGTACGTCTTAGGAATAAGGTCGTTTACTGCTGCAAAGTACGGAAAGTGCCTGTGTATGTCTGCCAAGATGCTGGTGTGCGGGGAGTTGTTGTCTCTCCAATGCCCCAGCATGCTTAGGCGCGTGGCTGTACATGCAGCTTCCTGTTGTATAAACAAGTGGAGTGGTCTCACGTTAAGTATTGTCTCCAGTGCTGATGTGGGAGTGGTTTTCATGCAGCCGGTGATTGCACAGCATGCCCGCCTCTGGAGACGTCTTAACTTATTAATTGTCGTTACCTGGATTGTCTTGGTCCACCATACTACTGCTGCATAGCTGATGATGGGCCTAATTATGGTCGTGTATAGCCACTTAACAATGAGCGGTGATAGTCCCCAAGTTTTGCTAATCATATTGCGACATTGCCAGAAAATGATGTTAGTCTTCGTTGTAGTTTTGTCTATGTGGGATCCCCAGTTCAGTTTGGAGTCTAGGGTTATTCCTAGATACTTTACCTCGTTGGAGAGCCTCAGTGTCGTGTTAAATAGTTTCGGTAGCCGATAGTCGCCTAATGATCTTTTATTCGTGAACATGACCAATTCCGTCTTCACTGGGTTCACCTTAAGGCCGTAGTCGTCACACCATTTTTCAACAACCTTCATTGCCCCTCGCATAACATCACAGGCGGTGCTCGCAAACTTACCTGGAATTATGATTGCAAGGTCGTCCGCGTAGCCCACCGTGTGGTAGTGAAGGTTGTTTAGTTTGGTAATTAAGTCGTTTACAACTACATTCCATAGCAGAGGCGACAGTACTCCTCCTTGAGGGCATCCTTTAGTTGCCAATGCTCTGAGATGGTTGTCGTCTTGTAGTCTGATTAGTCTGTTACGGAGCATGTTACTTACCCAGTATATAATGGTCTCATCGACTCCGTGTTTGCCAAGTGCGTCTACTATGCTGGCGAAGCTTGTTTTGTCAAACGCGCCTTCTATGTCTATAAAGGTGCCCAGACATAGCTCTTTCCGTCTGAGACTATCCTCTATTTTACTTACGACTGCATGTAGTGCAGATTCTGTCGACTTGCCTGGACTATAGGCGTGTTGGTTCGGATGTAGTGGAACATTGACTAGTTGGTTGTCTCTCAGCTCTCTGTCGCACAGTCTTTCCAGGGTCTTTAGCAGAAATGATGAGAGACTTATTGGTCTGAAAGATTTCGCCTCGTTGTAGTCTGCCTTACCCGGTTTTGGTATGAAGATTACCTTGACCTCCCTCCAGAGCTTCGGGGTGTATCTAAATGCAAGACACGCTCTCAGGAGGGGCACCAGGATAAGGATTAGTGCTTCACCTGCCCATTGAAGCAGCGCCGGAAAGATGCCATCTGGTCCGGCTGCCTTGAATGGCTGGAAGCTGTTGATGGCCCACCTTAACTTATCTGTAGACACTGTCTTCAATGCAGTGTTCCAGGATTGTTCCGTGGGGGTCCAGCTAGTGTCATTCCATGTATGTGTCGTGTGTATGATGCAGCCCGGAAAGTGGGTTTCAAGTAGTACCCTCTGTGCCTCCTCAGTTGTTTCTGTGAGGGAGCCATCAGCCTTCCGGAGCTGTGCTAGGTCTTGCTGCCTATCTTTAGATAGCAGTTTCCTTACCTTATTTGCCTTTGTGCATGAGTCTATATCTGAACAAAATTTTCTCCAAGACCCATTGCTCCAATGTCGGATGCGTCTCTTGTAAAGTGCCTTGGCATCTTTGTACGCATCCCAGTCCTGGTCGTCACATGTATTCATGGCCCTGTTAAAAAGTCTTCTTACCTTTTTCCTCAGTTTTTCCAGCTCGGGACCCCACCAAGACTGGCTGGCGCCCGAGTTGGATGATGGTGTACTAAGAGGACAGGCTGTCTGATAGCTTGAGATTATAACTCTTGTTAATTCCTCAGCTGTTTCGTCTATTTTATAAGTTTCGTCTAAACTACCAGACTGCAGATGTCGCAGTGACCGAGTTACCTGTCTGCGATACTGGCTTCTGTTTGTTTTGCTAGGTATGCGTCTAGGTGGCTGGGTGACACGCTGTACCGCGATGTTGAACCTAATCCACCTATGGTCAGAGCAGGATGCCTCTGGGGAAACGTGCCAGTCAGAGATCAGATCCGCTGCTCTTCTTGATGCTAGTGTAAGGTCGATGATGGATCTGCCCCTTCTTGTTACGAAAGTAGGTTCAGATCCTGTGTTTATTATATTAAGGTTAGTGGTTTCACTATCAGAAAACTTATTTTTTCTTATGCTTTCATGCGCATCAATAAATTTATTAAAATACTTTTTGGACGGTATAAAGCGTCATTTACTAACCTATACTTTATTTCCTGAAATTTCGGATCCTTTATAGGCGCCTTAAGTCAAAGCCTTGCAATCATTAGTAGATAATGTCTATGGTTTTAACTACAACGACTACTACTAAACTACACCGAACTTCAACTAAATAGATGACTGCCTAGTAATATATTAAAAAGATCACACATGCACGTAATGAAAACGTGTGGACAGTAATTTCCATTACAAAATCCTAGAAGCCCTTCGAATTGGATCGACTTCTAAGTTTCAATATTAGTTAGTTGGGTATAAATGACCCTATAGTTCCAGGTAAATTAAATTTCGGGTTAGCATAATTGCCGCCGACGCACGTCGGCTCGTATTAACACATCGTAAATTCAACCCTCAAGCACCTTGCTAATAATTAAGATCGTAGCGACCCTTTTGAATTGTTTGCCCAATTTAGCAATCCACCTACAATTGCGGACGGGTTATGGGGACAAAGGTAAGCGATATTTTGTACCCGCACACTTGAGGGTTAAGTGATTAAGAGAGGTCGACAGAATGGGCAATAGTTACACAATTTGGTCACTTTAATGGCCGCTACACGTGTATTGTGTTTCAAATTATAATTTACAAGATAAAATTCAAAACCACTTATTCAGTGTAGGCTGTTACAAGCACTTGTGAAGGTCGAGAAGCTATGCCATAAGTTCGCAAATCTGCGGCGAGAGGCCGCCGCACACGGGTCACCGACCACGACCACAAAACGCCGCCACCGGCATATTTCTTGTAGTTTTCATACATTTTATATGGACTCGCCACATACGGTACGCCGGTGATCTCCACACGCTACAAATCGTCGTTGCTCGCTTCTTGTGGCCCGCACCGGCCACTTAATGCGCCGATACAAAACGCCGCCACATGTCACTCGCGTGATTCCCCACCCCTCTGTCCCTTACCTTAGCCGGCCGCTGTCGCGCGCTTCAGCCACTTTAGTAGCCGCTTCTAGCTTCTCATGGCGGCGTTTGTGGCTGTAGAATGTGGCCCGTGTGTGGCGACACTTAGTAATACAGAGTCGTCAAATTGAATGACTTTAGACCATTTTGAAAACGTTCATACGTTATTAATTTGTTTATGTATAGTGGCTCCAATAAAAGTGGATATTTATAATCCTATTACGTATGCATATATCGGTAAAAAAATGATTTCAAGTATACCGCGGAAAAGTGGAAATTGTCTAGCAAAACATGGGGTGTTTTTAGGCAGGTAACGTCTCATCACACGGCACACAACAACAGTACAGTCAGTACAGAACAGTACCAAGTAATGTCATTTACACAGTAACTTTTAACTAGGTTTGTCGGTTGTCCTGGGTCCATTTGTGATAGTATACAATACAACCCCACGGCCCAGTCTTCCTCATCAGCAGCCTATTCATGTCCCACTGCTGGGGTA